TTATGGAATAATACAACTTTGTATTAATCAAGAATTTGGAATTAATGTTGTCAATGCCACAAGAAGAAGAAAGTTTAAGATTTTATATATCTTCTTAATGCCGGATACGTAAAATATAACTGGGTCCATAGGAGGAACTTCAAAAACAGAGTAGTTAAAATTATCGCAAGAAACATCGTTTGAAAAAGCCGTCGCAAAAACATTGTTGAGAACAGAAGCACATTCGTGTGACGGGACTGTAACACCATCAATAGATGTAAGTAACAATGTGGTGGTGTATTTCTTGTTTATTACATTCCAAAATTGTTTAAGATTGTTAATAAGCATAGCAGGCAAAGTGTGGTTGTTAAGCGTGTCCTTGGTGCTCTTTAATGCAGCTTTGTACTCAGCAGCCATGAAAAAATAGAATTCCCATCGTACTACAAAATTCATCACCTTTGCAGAGCGAAACAAACGTTTCTTTTTATTGGACAGTCTTTTCAAATACTTATTAAACCAAGGTCATTCCCTCTCACACCTCAAAAATTTGAGCGGCACAAAAGCGTCAATAAGACCCTCAACAATGCCCTTAAACAATTCCCAATTAGTGTTCACAGAACACAGTGAAAACTCCTGCAAGTAATCATGGAGGAAAAGAGCTAGCTCACGATTCATCGCGTTGTAGTCAGCACGTTTATAGTCTCTAATATATTTTGTCTGATGTGTTTACAGACAGGAGTTTCAAGATCAAAATGGAGTAACGAATGATCACTGAGACCAGGTAGATACACGAGTGAAGAGATAAGATGCGGTACGTTAGTTAGAACGAGATCTAAAATGCTGGATGTGGCTGAGGTAGTTCGAGTAGGTTCAGAGATAAGTTGTGACAGGTTGAAGTCCAGACAAGTCATCAAAAGCTTGTTACACTCAGTCGAGAGAGGGCTAAGATAAGGCGATGCATTATTCCACACAATCTAGGGGTAGTTGAAATCCCCAGCCAAGAGGATAGGAGTGTTGGAAAAACGTACAGTGATCATGTTAAGCGCGTCATGCAATTCATCAACGAAAGTGGGACACGAAGACGGGGGACGGTAACATATGCCCAAGATCAACTTCTTAAAACGTACGCAAAGCTCGACCCAGACTAGTTCCAGGTTACTTGGGGAATTAATGGGCAACGCAGCAAAATTATCTGCAACAGCTATCAAAACACCACCGCCACATTTTTGGCCTCTGTCGAAGCGGAATACGTTGAACTTCTTTTTGCTAACAAACAATTCAATTCTTGTTACCTTAGAAGAAAGCCATGTTTCAGTCAACAAAACAACATCAGCATTACAGGAACCGATTATAGAGTCAAGTTCATCGCGCTTTGGTAATAAACTTCTAATATTTGTAAAAAGAAAAGAGACAGAATTTGCGGTAGTAGGCACTGAACCACTGCTTCTCGCGCAACCCTACAGCACAGGGTGTGGTAGAACAGTGACATCACGGGTTAACTGCTGACTCTGGACAAGCGGACGAGCAGAGCGATCAGTATGCTTAGTACGTGACAAGTCAGAGATACTAGAATCGTCGATATCGTGACGCGATGTCTGTCCCCGAAAATTATTTTCCATAAAAACATGATCACGAGCTGCGCTGTAGCTATAGCACTGACCGTTAATGTACAGTTTGTTGTACCTCAGTTTGTGATGCGAGCCCTGATTCTTTGCAAATCGAAGCAGCTTTTTTCTGGCTTGGCGCGTTTCTAAAGAAAAATCTTCCCTTACAGTGATACCTTTATCCCTGAGCTTCACTGACTGGTATAGAATCAGCTGCTTCATTTTAAAGGAACGAAATTTCACGATTACCGGATTTTTCCTCCGAGAATGCACCGATTCTATGAGCACGTTCTAGCGTGTCCTTTGTAAGCACTCGAGTAAAGCAACTAGAAATCATATTTAACAGCTTTTCTTGTGTGGCCTCCCATGTTTCCGATAAACTGTCATGTACGCCGAAGAACAATAAATTGTCTCTTCGTTGCCTGTCCTCCAGCTGTGATGGACCAAGTCAGAATTTGTCATTTTCACGAGCTAGGTTATCCGCGAGTTCTCGTAAGGCCAGCAGGTCTTGTTGAGCGGTGTCAGTGGTAGGCGTCCTAGTTTCAACAGCGGACAACCTTATATCAATATTGACTATGTTGCTTTCCATAGTTTCCTGAGCTTCTTTTAATTCAGCAATAGACGTAATTAAACGTGACTGTTCCATTTCCATCCTAGCTGTGCGCGAGTTAACGCTCTGTAGTAGGGTTAACACATAATTCAGTTTCTTCTGTATTGCCTCCTCGCTAGCATTGTCTTTAGACCGCGTAACAACGCCAGAAGCACCAGTAGAAGGGCCAGGGTTTAACTCTACGTTTTCTGACGGCAAAAGCAGCTGACTACAAACATCAAATGATTGCACAAGTAAAACAAGTAGCACTCGTGGGCGTGGGAACAGCAAAAGGCAGGCATTGCTAGATTTCTTAGCAAATAACGAAGTGTTATTACTGACCTGCATGAACAAACGCATGTTGTGAAGCAACCGTCCAACGATGCTGTTCGCACACCCACTGGAAGGCGTGGGTCGTTGGCATCCGTTTATATCCAGAGAAAATGGTGATATCGTAGGTGATGAGCTGAACCTGTGCAATGGAGCCATCGTTCAAGTGTTATTACTGACCTGCATGAACAAACGCATGTTGTGAAGCAACCGTCCAACGATGCTGTTCGCACACCCACTGGAAGGCGTGGGCCGTTGGCATCCGTTTATATCCAGAGAAAATGGTGATATCGTAGGTGATGAGCTGAACCTGTGCAATGGAGCCATGGTTCAGGAGGGTTGCCAAGGCAAGTCATGTCCAGCGTAGTCTTCATGGCGGTGGCAGCAATCAGTAGGTGCGCACGAAGCAATAACGGCTGAAGCGTTCGATGCCGCGCAAACTTGAAGGCATCCCCCTATCTGCATGAACAAACGCATGTTGTAAAGAAACCGTCCAACGATGCTGTTCGCACGCCCACTGGAAGGTGCGGGCCGTTGGCATCCGTTTATATCCAGAGGAAATAGTGATGTCGTAGGCGATGAGCAGAACTTGTGCAATGGAGCCATGGTCCAGGAGGGTTGCCAAGGCAAGTCATGTCCAGCGTAGTCTTGATGGCGGTGGCCGCCATGAAGACTACGCTGGACATGACTTGCCACACATTTCTTGTACTACACATGACTTGATCACACATTTCTTGTATTTCTAAGTGACCTAACAGCCAACAAAACGCAAACAGTAGACTTTTTGCAGGTGACTGCATATTATACAAAGACATTAAAAGCTGCAGTGACCAAATTGAATTGAACGATGCCCTAAACGACATTGTACGATGGTGTTCTAACTGGCAAATGGTGTTTAATTCTGACAAAACAGCCGCGATGAAAGTCACAAAAAAGAAATCGCACTTACCCTTCTATTACGGTTACAACAACACCGTGCTACAAAATGTAAGCCAGTACAAATACCTTGGTCTGATTATAACTTTTATCTCAGTTGGACAGTGCACATGGAAACCGTAGCTAATGAGGCCTTAAAAAATTGTATTTTCTTAAGCGCACGCTGCGACATGCCGACCGTGACACTAAGCATCTAGCATACTTGTCAGACCGATCTTGGAGTATGCTAGCATGATCTGGTTCCCCTTCATGGTTAGTTGTATCACCACACTTCAAAACGTACAGCGTTATGCGGTTAGATTTATTTTTAACTGGTATCGCTGCCTCGACTCTCCAACTAAATTACTACACCGCATTGGTTTGCCCACACTCGAAAGCCGAGTAAAAATTCATCGCCTGAAGTTTCTAAATCAGTTATTGGGCATTTGTTTTGAGATAGAGCATGTAAGATACGTGAAAACCAAGGCGACAAGAGAAACAATTCACACATACGATCACACACTCCAAGAATACTTGTGCAACAACAACACATTCTATTATTTTTTTTTCTAGATGCATTCGAGAATGGAATTTTCTTGACCAACTTGTAGCTGAACAGCGTACAGTAGATGACTTCATAGGAATGTTGCAAAATACACAAGGCATTTGAGAATAAGCCTGATAACATAGCATGCACTGTATTTTCATTCTACAATTGCCCCCTTGTATTCATTTTGGCAATCAACCCTTGTATTGAGTTGATTGCCAATATTTGTATTTACACCAACTGTCACAAATGTGTTAACTTTTTCTCTACCCATTTTTATGATTCTATAAAATTAATACTGCGTCCACAGTCACTTTATTCATGCGTGTAGTTTCCTTTTTCTTAACTTGTACTTGTTCAGCAGTGCTGTTCCAATCAACTTATATTGTTACTTTCGATGTGGCTGTTTTTTTTTGTGCTTTTCTTTTTGCTCTCACTCCTGTAAAAACCCTGAAAAGGCTTAACAGTATGTTGAAAATATGTAAAAATAAATCAATAAAATATGCAAGCCTCATTAAAGGCTGAGCTTATTTGAGCTTTGAATTTGAAACTTGCATAAATGGAAAGTTGATGCGGCTTCACAGGTGTTGCTGTGTTTGTGTATTTGAGCCATGATCACATAAGAGGCTGTATGCTAAGAGGTGTCGCACTGTCATGGGCAACTGTAAAGGAAGTGTACTTTGCCTTACAGTGACGTCTCTGTAAGGCGAAGTACAATGCCTTTCCAGTTGCCTATGACAATGCTATTTTTCAGTGACATCTCCCTGCTGCGGTGGTCTAGTGGCTAAGGTACTCGGCTGCTGACATGCAGGTTCCGGGATTGAATTTCGGCTGTGGCTGCTGCATTTTTGATGGAGGTGAAAATGTTGTAGGCTCGTGTGCTCAGATTTTGGTGCACGTTAAAAACCCCAGGTTGTTGAAATTTCCGGAGCCCTCTACTACGGTGTCTCTCATAACTATATGGTGGTTTTGGGGACGTTAAACCCCACGTATCAATCTGCAGTGACGTCTCGCTTCCATATTTCTGTGTATGCAGCTGGAAAACTACAATGTACAGTTACCCCACCGCATCAAGGCAAGCTTGGTTACCGCCGAGGACACTGCACGGCTGCATGTACATCGCATCACCATGCGAGGCCGCGACGACGAGGACTGCTGCTACGTCACAGTTCGCGAAAATGGCACAGCCATGTGAGTACATGTTTAACCAACTTAAAAAAAAAAAAGGCAAACTTGGGTGTTTAGTAGGTGTGTGCAAATAGTTTGAAGTGAATTCAGATACTTTATTTGACATATGAAGAAAAATGAGCGTACTTGTCATGGCCCAACTGGTTTGCACAGTATTTTTAAAATTGAAACAAGGCATGTGCAGACGTCTTTCTTTTTAGTTTAAAGGGAAGGCAAAGCCACTCAGAATATTTTCAGGATTTACCTTTCGGTTGAATGCAAACGATAACCTTTGCATCATTGTTGCCAACCGTATAGTAACTATAGTGGAACCCCGATTATACGACTTTCTGGGGACCACGCCAAATGGTCGTATAATACGGCCGTCGTATAATCAAAAAACTAAGAATATACCAATGACACTCAGCCTTGCCCCAAAAAGTGGGTATAAACCGCCTGAATAAGCCCACGGCACAACCTTATGCCTCTGGTGGAAAGGTAGAATAAATTATTCTTGCCAACACCAGATAATGGCAGTGTAACTTAGTTGAAAGAGGTGCGAGCAAATTTCTATTCTCAAGTTTAAAAAGAATTGAATCCAACGCGCATTTTTCTACCAATAAAGTCCGAAAATTGTTTGCGCGTGAAAACGAAACTGAAACCGTGTTGCCAATAGCCTCCCGTCAGAAAAGTCAGACATAGTGTCATCGCTATCACATAATGGCGACCGATCACGAGTGTGCATAGAATGCCTTCGCGTGCGACTGAGCTATAAACGTAATTTGTGGCCTTGTGAAGTGCAACTAGTGATGTCTCGCTGTTGGTATTAACATCGACAACGAGTGAAAGTTACCTTTCACAGTGAAAACAGCTGTGTCGCCCCCTTATGCGTCATTGAGCCTGTGACTGCGAGTGCGACAAAGGCAGGAGATCAGCTGTATGTCGATCAGAAAATGTTTTCATAGACCGAAAGCGTGAAAATATCAGCTTTTTGGTCAGCTGGAGCTACTTTGTGGATAGAGTTTGACTAGGTAACGACCCCAGACACATGCACACGCGATTGCAACGTGTTTAGAAGCGACTTTCGGGGGAATAAATATTCCATTCTAAGAAAACATCTGTTTCGCTATCTACTTTTATAATCATCAACCTAGGGGTACGCAAGTTTATATTTTGCACTCGTGAATATTTGGTCCACGCTTGATTCGAGTAAAGGCGTTCTTTTTTCTTTTGGACGAAATCTGAATGTCGTCGTAAGATGCGGCGTCGGCGTAAAAGTGCGTCGTATAACCAAGGTTTTTAAAACATTATTCCTATGGGGATTTTGCCAAAACCTAACCGATTTGTCCTAAAATGCGGGTTGTCACGAAACAGGGGAACGTATAATTAAAGTTCCACTATACCATACCTGTAGGGTAACTTCAGTGTTGTTCGATCAGCGTAGGTTAGTAGGGTGGTGATGCGATTACTTTTTTAGGCGGAGGGTAATTTTTACAGTTTGCTCGTCGTCGAACAGCGGCATAGCTGAGAGTTGCACTCTAAAAGAGATCCAAAAACTAAATTATCTTTGAATAAAACTGGAATTTTTATTCACACATCACCAGCATAGCACAAAGATGAAATATAGCTTGTCATGCATCTCTGTGCTATCATTGTCTTTTATCATCATGGATGGTTTTTCTCTCTCTCTCTTGTCTCCCATTCGTTTGTTGCAGGGAGAGGCTTGCTGTGTTGAAATCAGAACGTCGATGCATGTACGCCGTCGTCTTTAATTTCGCCAAAAAAAAAAAAATATTTTCTTTTCTGAGTTCTGAGGACCCCAAAACCACTTTCGATTTCGCGAAAAAAAATTTTACCTTGTTAAAAAAAAATTCATCAGTGTGCACTGAGCGGCAGCCTTTTTTTTTTTTTCAAATTTCGCGAAAACGGGGTTTCAATGAAATCCTGCAAAAAACTTGTAGCTGTAGGTCTGAAAAGTTTAGGCCACATACTAAGAATAGTTTTCTTTGATAAAGCATTACTACTTTGCAATTTTAGCGCTGTTCTTTCCAGCGAAAGAATCACGAAATCGGCACACAATTCAATATTGCTCAAACTGCAGATTTTTTTTTCTCTGCGTGTATAAATGTCAGACTTCTAAAAAATTTCGAGAGCACTGTAACATGTTAGGTCAAAAAATTTGCAGAATGTAATTGCTGAGAGTTTTGTCAAATGTTAAACAAAGCATTTAACTGAGGTCATGTCTCTGAAAATGCAATATTTTGAAGACCATTTAAAAAAAGGCCGTCATTAAATTTCTTTAAACTCTTCAGAATTCTACCCAAGCATATGCTCCAACATTATCTGTAAAAACACTTTTCATTGTTTTTGGCCGAATGGAGTTACAAAGTACGAAACGTGGTAAAAATGACGTAAACTGAGTAACCGGGTCATCAAGGGAGTGGGTAACAATAGTTGCCATTATGAACATTTTTAGGTTGTGAATGTGTTTTGTGGATCTTGATAAATAAAAGATTGACAAAGGAAGAAAGCAGGAACAGATGGTTTCGAACAACAACTTAATACTATGTTTTTCTACGCATTTCACAAAAACTTGTAATTTATCCCAGCCACTAAGCATGCCGTAATGCTGAGTCACATGCTTTGCAAGAATCGCTTTCAATGTCTTCTGGGAATTCAAGCCTGCGCACACCTCATGATGAGTGCGGCTGTAGAGGATCCACCACTGGATATTTATCGCTTTCCGTGGCATGGCAGTAATCTGAGAACGCAGAAGGTGCGTGGCGGCACAAGCGGCGCGTCTGCCACTTGACCACACTCACCAGCTCCCTAAACAAGAAGAAAGAACGCAAAAAGGGAACAGCTTAACTCACTTCAGAAAGGTCGAAGTCATTAGCGAACGTTGACTTTCACTACCATTCGACATCCACAACCCGGCAGCAGTCCTCTGCTAGTCAACAAACGTGAGTAAACGTGCGTGTATAGCACTCCCCTGAAATTCATGGCTATGTTGTGAAACTCAAAGCGAGCGTATTGCACTGACTATTTAGAGAGGCATAAGAAGAAGATTGCCTACAAGCGGAACTTTTGAAGTGTGAAAGATTTGAATGTCTCCTTACTAAGAAAGAGCATACCAGAAGAAGCCTCATCTATTAGAGAAACCGACATTTAGTGCCAGAACTGCTTCAACCGCTTCAAAGAGATCGCCGCATAGTCTCCAGAAGGATCTCAGTCTTACGAAAATTTCGTTCCAGAACAAACTGCAGTTGAAGAGCTAAACATCTCGGTTCAGGTAACCGATGTGGCAGCGCTGAAAATTCCGGCAATAGTGAAAACACATTGCCGAGCGTTCTACGTCAAGCGTAAGAAAGCCGAGATCGAGGGTGCTGTCCCCAGGAAAGTTTCTGCTATCTTTAAAGCAGTGTGCGGGCCCACAGAGGAACCTGATCCTACAGCTGAAAACCAGACTTCCCAAAAATTTTGAGAACATTGCCACATGTTAGGTGAACAAATTTGCAGAACGTAATTGCTGGGAGTGACATCAAACGTTAAGCATTAACAGTTAACTGAGGACATGTAATGCAATATTTTGAAGGCAATTTGAAAAAAAAAAAAAAGGCCATCTTGGATTTTTTTTAAGCTCTTCAGAATTATACCCAAGCACATGCTCTAACTTAGTCTGTAGAAATATCTTGCATTATTTTTATAACAACAGAAGCCTAAAAGGCTAAAAAAGCAATATAGGTACGAAAACATGTTATAGGTGTCAAAAGCTCAAGAAGTGGTAAAAATGACATCTTGAGAAACCGCAACATCGAGTGAGCAGTGAGAAATAGCTGCCATTATTAATAATTTATGGTTGTGAATTTCGTGTTATGCTCAAGGGTACCAGCTTGACATGGAAAACAAAAGAATAGACGTCGGAGCGTGGCGTCACCGGTGCTCGTGCAAGGCAGCGGTTGGCAAAACACTCCCGCCAGTTGCTGAATCAGGTGCAGTCGCTCGGTGCTTGGGGCAAGTTTCTTTTTTTTGAAATTTCAATCTTCATCTCAAAGTGGCAATATTAGCTGTGGTATGTGTCAGAGAACACCTAGGTGTGTGGTAAAGTGGGTGATGAAATATTTACGACGCTGGCTGGCTGTTTGTCTCAGAGAAGTGAACACATGTGGCAGCCTTTGCGAGGAACAGCGGCATCGTCTTCGAAAATGTGCAGTGTTGACTGTGGCGTGTAATGTGTGTTGAAAGCCATCGACAGTATTGGTTCACCTTTACGGATGATGAAACTCAGAATATTGTGTGGGATGTGTTCAGTGTGAATAACGTGATGTGTCCTGTTTGCAAAACATTGGTATTCATTGTGGGCCGGTTGCGGTTACCGGTTGTTGATAGAACTTTACAATCTGCCATTTTAGTCGAGGTAAAAATGCATTCGACGCGATCATCTGTGAGTAGGTTCATCTCAGCCTATGCGCGGCGTGCAGAAAAATAAAAGTGCATGATCTCCGGGTGACATTTTTTATTTTTTAATTTTTATTTAGTACATACTGCAGTCCGTAGACCAAGCAGGAGGGGCGAAGAAAGGTAACACATTGGAAACAAAGGGAAGACGTTTGTACAACAAAATTTTCTTACTATCGTACGCAATAACTGAAAAACAAGTACATATTAAGGGGAGACGTGTCAAGTAAAATTAATTTTTTTATTAATGTACTGTTTGTGATGAAATTCGGTGTGTGTATGTGGATGATTGTGAGGATTCTAAATATGAAAACCGTTTTCAAATACCTCTTATACTTTTTGAGTTACAAGCATAATTATACTAATCAATGCTCTTCACAATTAAAGAGATAATTATTGCTAAATGAAATTATTTTTTCATATTATTATGTTCCCAAAGCATCAACATGTGCAAAGAAGCTATTAGTTGATTTTTCTAGTTCTTGTAACCATAAATAAAATTTCCAAAACGTGGATGTTGTTTTGCGCACACATCGCAGTAATTATAAAATGTGTTCTAAAAATTT